CAATTTTGACGTCGAATCATCGACGTCATCGACGCGCCGCTACAGCACTACTCTACATGCTGCGAGTGCAGTACAGCACCCTGGAAATTAACAATTCTTAAAATGAATAAATGATCAATACTGAGTGTTTGCTGGAGGAACTGATCAAGTTAATCTTATTAACTGATCCAAATATTCACAGTTAATTTTAATTTTAAGTTATGATCGATTCTTAATAATTCCCCTTTGATCTAATTTGCCACTAGCCTGGCTGCGCCCTCCTACGCACTTCCGCCCAATTTCATTTTACTTCTGTACTACGTCTGGGATCGCTCCATATCCTTAGGTTTCCAGAAACTAATTTTTTGTAGGACCAATCAGCGAATAGAGGGAGTGGCTGAGAAAGATCACGTTGATGTAAGCGCGTCAGTTTCAGTTCAGTAATGGCAGCGGAGAAAGGCGTGAGAAAAGCTATTCGGTCCGTTGTTGGAAAAGAAACTGCCGAATATACCGAATTTAAAGCCGGATTGTTATCGTCTCACCTCTTGTTGCACAACTGAGGACCAAGTGAAGGAGGCAGAAAGTTTGGAAGTTTGTGCTGGGCAGTTCGTGCACGATGACCGTGACATTTTGGACGGACGGTTTAGCCTGGTGTTCGCGGTGTTCGGAAGCCCCGAGTCCTGGCTGCTAAACTATTGTTGAAGATCCGCTCAGGAGTCATGTCAGTCGCTCATATTCCCAACCAGGGCCTGAAATTAACACCCGACCACCTGCCAAATGCGGGTGAATTTTCCTATTGGCGGGTAACACTGTCAATCTACCTGCCACATTGGCAGGTAGCCAATGAGAATTGAGTGATTCATTAGGATTTTTACATTTCAACTAAGTCCGCCATTGCGTTTGACTTTAGCTAAAATGTGGCGGCACATTACTGGGGTAAAGAAGCCAGCTGAAACAAACAACCAACAAAAAGATGAGGATGAGAAAAAGAAAAGTAAAAGAAGACATTTCAATACAAAGTGGACAATTGGCGGCAATGGCAAGGTTCGTGAGCAGCTGATTTATGACCGCGACTGTTGTTTCGGAACGTTCATGCGATCAGAAGAAGACGATCGAGGCCCTTTTCCGACTACATTTGGATGTGCGAGTATTAAACTGTTGGTGAGATGGGATGAGATAATGTAACGCTGACGTAGCCTACGTACAATGACAGTTGCACAGATGTGTGTGCATGTGCAACTGTGCATGTTGGGAGTTGGGAACCAGTGAGAAAATGTCCAGTACCTTTACCAGTAATAACAATATTAATTTAGTTCATAATTAACGGTTCCGGAACGCTGTAACTAAAAGCTGTCAGGATCTGTCTACGTGACTAAATCAGCCATCAACCCAGCCGCGTGCGATTTGTTTACATACGAGCTGCGGTAGGTCTATCTGTTGAGTATATACTATATAGCCTATACTATATACTGTATATGTTGTGTGAGTGACAAAATCAATGAATAAAAAGATTTTAAAAAAAAATTATGTTCTTAGAGATATTATTATTACTTGACAGCACTTAAATGTGTATTCTTACAAGTGAAAGAACAATGTTGTGAAATTCACGGTTTTTTTCACCTTTATATAAACGTGAAAAAAAAAAGAAAAAAAGAAAAAAAAACAGGAATTTCACAATATTGTTCTTTTTTACCATTTTTTGGCTGATGCAAAATATGAGGCAAAAAAAAAGTGGCTGGTAAAAAGTCTCTGTGGCAGGTGAATTTTTAAATCCACCTGCCACAGTGGCCGGTGGCCGAAAAAGTTAATTTCAGGCCCTGTTCCCAACTGTATATTTACTGATTCTTGTGATGAATAGAAAATTTTGAGCCCTTGTGCACTCGTGCAGGAGGTTGGTGTGTCAGTTTTACATGTTGTAAATCATACAAATTGGTTGTGATTTAAAAAAAAAAATAATAATTGTCATAAATAAAAATGTGAAAAACCATACTTTGAAGATATTTGATTTTCAGTTTTAGATGGCAATGGTTGATTTGTTTTACTAAAAAAAATAAATGCCACATAAAAATGTACAAACACATACTTTGAAGACCATAATTAAGGTAATTAAGAAACAATAAGACGTAATATGAAAAATTGTTGTTTATTACACATCTGCAGATAGAGACAGACTGATCATTCGCTGTAGCAGCTACAGCATTTGCGGCAGCTCAGAAACGACCACAGCGGCGTATTTGTAATGATTAAACACAGCTTCCACCATTGAATGAATATATCACTGTCCTTCGTGTCAAATATACATTTCGAATTAATAATTGTTCCTAGATTAACAAAACCTGCGGCGCTCGTTGACTGAAATCCTATTGTAAACATAATCCTCTGATCATTCGGACTTGTTGTTTCCAGCCATTTCGGCGCGTGACATACGTCACTCACGACACCCCGTTAGCGATTGGCTATGGCAGATCGTGAGTGACTTTGGGCAGATCCAATAGATTTGAACTTTAATAGTGAACCCGCCTACAAGGAAGGAAACGTTTCTCAATGGAGCGGTTCCAGACTCAATGTGGAAATGAAATGAACTAGAGTCTGGTTGAACCAGGCTAATTTGCCACAGCTCCACAAGGAAATTGTACACATTGAAGTGGAGGGTTTTCATTCGACAGTGGGACCCGGTTGGTATACTGTAGTGCTAGAGTTTCTAAAGGTCTTTTTTCCTCGCAGGGTTATCCACTTCCACACTAAAGGTGTACGTGGCAGCCACATGTCACGGGTGACGTAGCCGGAAGTACAGAATCAAAATTGTCCGACAACGTTGTTTTACCTTTTAATTCCTTTTTTTGTAAACGGCGTTTGAGTTAGTTTGCACGTTCAACTTGTAAACACTGACTCTTTACTTCCGGCTACGTCGCCCGTGACCTTTTGAACGTAATTACGTGACGTTGCAAGCGCGCCTCACAGAATAGAGCAAGGCTAGCATTTGTCCTTAGAAAAGCTACATTTTTGGAATAAGTTTTGAAATAACCGATCGTTACCGAACCCTTATTCATCGTCTGGTGTCGTTTAAAGACATTTGAAGCTGCATCTGAAACTGTTATTAACTGTCGTTTGGACCTTGGACCGTCTGGTTCCCATTGAAGTCCATTATATGGAGAAAAATCCTGGAATGTTTTCATCAAAAACCTTAATTTCTTTTTCGACTGAAGAAAGAAAGACATGGACATCTTGGATGACATGGGGGTGAGTAAATTATCCGCAAAAGTTTTTTTAAAAGTGAACTTATTCTTTAATGCAAATGTGTGGAGTGTCCCTTGAAGCAAGTGGATCGTCGATGTCTATATGAGCTCTCTGTTCAGCCTTCACCTTTGGCTGTCAGAGCTATATAATTGTGTGTGTGTGTGTGTGTGTGTGTGTGTAGTTGGTCAGTCATGTAATCACCCCCCTGTCCTAATATTAGCATATTCAGGAAGTGACATTTTAATGGATGTGTCACATCCGTCAGTGTTTCAGTGTGTGCACACCTGACAGTTTTACACCTGGTCCCTCTTCTGAGATCTGGGGCTCTATATATGTGTATATGAAGAGTTCAGATGCTAAAGCCTCTAAATGCCATTTGAAATTTTCTTCTTTAATGATGATTTTTATCAAACTTGTATATTTAAGTTCAGTAATTTCACTTAAATAACAATTAATAGGTAATTACCATTGCCATTTAAGTGAAATCACTGAACATAAATATACAAGCTTGATAAAAATGATCATTCTAGAAGAAAATTTCAAATGGCATTTAGAGGCTTTTGCATCTGAACTCTTCATATATACACACAAACGCCACTGCTGTTCTATTCAGCCTGTAAATCATGTATTATGTGCATCATGTGTCTCTGGGTGATTTGTAAAGGTAATGTACAGTGCAATGGCTGTTTTAATTCTGTGTGGATGCTCTAATGGAGGAGTGTTTTGACCACGTGCATGTGTGTATGAGGGAGGTGAATAATGCATAAATGTAATTTCTGGGATACTGCTGTATAAAATGTGCTTCACTGAGCGGAAGCAAGCCAAAACCCTGCAGGCTGTGTGTGTGTGTGTGTGTGTTTGTGTGTGTGTGTGTGTGTGTGAGATCATACAAAACTGCATTAAAAGGTCTCCTATGTTAGCGTTTTTTAAATGTCTTTGGATGTCTAATTGTTTACAGTGAACATGGAGCACATTAAATATGCAAATCTGTGTGCTCATGTTTTCAATTTTTGACACACGAGTCAATTACGTGTTACTCGGTGTTTTAAAAATGGTCTTTTACACCCCTTCTATCATGAACAGATTTGCAATATCTGAATTAAAATACATTTTTGCTGTCATGTGCCCATAAAACAGGACATTACATTAAAGACTCCTGTAGTCCCTCATGACTGTGTCAGTGTACCAGATTTACATTTTTTTTTCACTCTTATTTTTATTTTTATTTTTTTTTTAGTCAACACAAAGCATGGTTATCTCAGTTTCGAGTATGGTTACAAAAGGCAAAAAATAAAATAAAAATGAACAATAAAACAAAAGACAGCAACCAGATGTTATGATAGAAAAAAAGACAAATAAAAATAAAACCTTCAGATTACACAGTTTCTAATGCTATTTTATATGCTATCCATTTGTGCCATTTTTCAGATTTACATTTTTTTTGTAATGGGAAATGTTTAATTAGCTTGTTTAATCTTCGTTATACAACAAATTTAAAATAATAATTAAGACGTTTATATTCACGTATCAAGACGTAAGGAACAAAATTATTACATTTGAGTTGGGGGTTACACCATTTAACATATATTTTCAAGAGAATATTTAAATATCTACTTACAAATATAGCCCAGTGATAACAAAACTAATCTAATTTTAATGGATTTGCAACATTGTTCTCAAAGTAGAAATGTATTCTCTTTATCGTTTTGGGCAATGAACATTAATCATGTCAAGATGCATAATTTACCCAAACACAAACACATTTGCATGCTGATTATACTCACAGATCGAAGCGTAAGTTTTGCCTCTCTTCGAAGAAGTAATCTATGATGAACTTGTGCACAAAGTCTGGATTCAGCGTGTTATCGATTACTTCTGTCCTGCCAAACTAAACGAGAACAGCAAACAGCATCACATTACCAGCCATGAATATAAAACGTCATGCAAGTTAAAAAATACAGGTCTGAATATACCTCTCTCCACTCCCTGTTCGCCACCGTCTGAGTGTACAGCACGCAAACTACACAGAAACAAAGTTAAAAGAAAAGATATATGAGAATTGTCATGATGCATTAAATTGAAAATAGCAGCAATGGTTTGTTAATTCAGCAAATGAAGAAATCAAATATGCACAAAAGCCAACAGAAGATGTGTGGAGCTCCTGAGACATTATTGGCTCATTTGTCTTGCATGCAATAGAGCGGTGTCATTAACACACACACACACACACACACACACACACAGACGTTTCGATGTTTTATGGGAACTTTCAATTGACATAATGATTTTTATACTGTACAAACTGTATATTATATCACATAACCCTTAAACTCACCAACAGAAAGCTTCAAAAAACGTAATTTTACATGATTTATAAGCTGTTTCCTGCCCTTTTTATTTAGTCCCATAGGAAATACCAGATACACACACACACACACATCCGTCTCTCAGGAGAGATGTGAGTACAGGTGGTCATAAAGTTACACTCTATAAACTCTACAAGGCTCTAGGGTCCAAACCCAATATAAAGGTTGAGATTATGCACGCTCGGCAGATGATGATGGTCTTTTTTTTAATTAGGCATATTTTTAGACACAGTCTGACGGCAGGTATTGGCTCGTGTTTAGAGGACGGCTCCCGGGCAGACAAACAGATGCTCAGAAACAGAATTATTTCAGCCGCCTGCCGTTGCTTGCGATATGAGTTGGCGAGACTCGTGCGTGTGTGTGTGTGTGTGTGCGTGTGTGAAAGACTGCCTCAGCTGTCTAAATGCATTCAGGAGCTCTTCTAACTTTCATTCTGTCAGCTGGGTGTTTACACACATAGGCGACCTGGGGCTCGTTCTTCGTACGTCGCTAACTCAGTTAGCTGGATTTGATTGTTGGCGATTTGCCATGATCTTGGATCGTTTGGTTCTTCGACGCTCATCCTGGACTTGCTGTCATAGCAACAGGTCCGTCAGCTTGAACCTGCTCGCGAGCAGGCTTATTTCATGTAAACAGGATTAGATCGCGGCTGATACGGAAGTCCTTCAGCGCAGCGCGATAGTGTAGCCTAATTTCTGAGATTTATTTTTGTTTTCTCGTGAAACGATCGTCGTGAGGGTGTCGTTTAAATACATTATTATTTTTGTTGGAAATGCACATTAATGTTCGATTCGATATCGGGCTTCAACAACAGCACAAAATGTTTGCATTGCCCTAAAATTATTTGCGAGTGGCTTCCTTTACACTATTGGAGATGCGGAGAACTTGATAAGCTTTCTGTCGTGCCATTCACAAAGTAGTGTTCTTAGTTTTTTTTTTTTTTTTTTTTTTTTTTTTTGCCAACTTAGGGTATATTATAATTTTTAATGAAGATAATCATGATGACCATGTCGATTATGACTTACAGTCCCTTAGGCTTAACTTACGTGATTGGTGCCATACACTGTAGACTACACACATGTTCCCATCAAGGCCTCAATGAAGGGATTTTGTGAGCAGAAAGGGGGCTTATACAGTGCAGCCAAATTACTATTACAATTTTTAATATTCCAGATTTGGAATATTATATCACTTTTTTTAAAAGGCATTTGACTGAGTAAAATCTTTTAGATGGTGTGTGACCATGTTCTATATCACAAATCAGTGTGAAAGCAAAATGGCCAGGATCTGTGCATGACTCAAGAATTTTAAGAGATTCACATTTATGAACATTATTTGAACATGGTAAGGAAAATTATAAATATCAAACTCACGGTATTACATACACTTATGCTGAGAACTGCATTTTTCCATTAAACAGGTGATTACAACAGGATCCTGCATGGAGACAGGTGTTTTATGACCCCATTCCCTGACCCAAACCCCAGACCAGTTACAATGCAGCTCTAGGACAAGGGCACACAATGACATGAGCTTTGGCCAACTAAAGGGAAGATTTCAATGTCTAAAAACCCTGAGGGTTGCACCTGACAGGGCCTGTGACATTGCATGTGCCATATTACACAACACTGCCAACATCAGAAAAAGAAAAAAAATGTTTAATTAAGCCTAAAATAAAAGACAAGACAAATTTGCAAAACTCTGTTTGCTTAGAGTTTTATTTCAATAGTTCTTTGTAAAGAAAAGCCAGTTATTCAGTCATATTTTTAAAAGATATTATGCAAGGTCAGTAATAGTACTCTGTGTGATTTTACTCTGAAGTTTATTTTGAAGCAACTCTATTTCTAGTGCAATTTGTTCTTAGTCAAGTTCTGTTTCTCCCCCTGATTTTTGTTTTTTCAAAATACTCTGTTGAAGACTCATATAGGGAAGAAATGCAACAAATAACAAGCAAAAGTTGTCTACACTGCCCACCCCTGTATCACTGCTGTGTGCAGACTCTTGTGGACTCCTGTCAGAAATAATGGCATAGGCACAAGTAGAAATCAATTAAAGCCATCAATTAAATTAAAGTACTTCCTCCAAAGGACAGTCATCTGAGAAGTTTTCTTCACTCTCCAGTGCAATGTGATTGATAACTCATGGCAAAATATTTTTTACATTAACATAAGTTTATCAGTTTTTACTTTCACAAGACAAAGCAATTTATCATTACTCAAGATTTAACAGTTGAAATGACTAAACCAGCCAATTTGGATTATTGGTCTACTTCATTTAATGCAGCAACAAATTATTTCACAGTGTACAAAGATAATTTAAATCTCATTTCCCAGTGATGTAGGTGTTGCTGCTACTGGTCCCTGATGTGGGTCTGGAAGAGCTGAACCCAGGGATGCCCTTCACAGGGCAATTCACATTCAACCCAAGGGTCAGCTCTTCTGCCAGGGTCAGGAGCATCATTATTATTTTTTTTTTCTCAGCATTTCTCCTGTTTGCTTTTTATAAACAGACAATCATTTATTTAACAGTGCCTTTTTAAAAGAGACTAGTAGGCCTATAAGGCCTAAAATTCCCATTAAGTAGAATATTTTTGTACTTCACTTTCACCATGTCCATTATTATAGTGTGGTGACTCGACATTACATTGAACAAAGTAATTATGAAATTATGAAAATAAAAATAAAATAATAATAAGTTATTAAAACATCTAACATGGCCACCACAAACGCATTTAATTTGTCTTCTAGTTTTGCCAGCACTCTCTCCTGGCTTTTGCACACTTTGAGGTGTTCCCTGGCGTTTTAATTAAACACTGAGATTCGGCATAACCTTGCATTAAAAGCGCTTGCTCTGCTTGGAGAAAAATGGGCGTGTTCTTTGGCCATGCTGAACAGCCAATAGCAGCGTTGCTGATCACTGGTTCTGCTATCGATACATGTCCCCTTTTTAACCAACGCGAGAACGCGCAGTTATCTCAGATAACTCAATCCAGCGATACTAATCATAAACAACAGGTGTGTTCGAAGAACCCAATTAGCCGGATCATGATTAGCACGATGATATCATCTTAGATGTCTCATTTGATCTCGGATGTTTTAAGCAACGTACGAAGAACGAGCCCCTGGACTGTTTCCAAAAATACACACACTGCACTGAAATTTACATACAGGACTATCCACATGTTTCCGAGGGGCGCTCCTGTAAAAAATAAAGTGGGTAAAACTTCCGGTGACGCGATGGCATTCTAATGGTATTTTGTGTGTTAGTTAGCGAAGAGGCTAGCTGTTTTTCGGAGAATTATTTTACTATTTAAAGACGCAAATCTTTATGAGAGATGTCGTTACGGAGCTCAGGGACAACATGTGCTGTTCGCGGTTGTATAACCGGACTAAACTAATTCAGTGGCTTAAACGTGATTGTTTTGAAGAGAGATATCCTACCAGAGCCCGTCTCTGATCCTGCCAACGACTGTAGTTTCCATCACCTCCCAAAAGACGACGAATCTTCCTGTGTACATTTGTTTAAATTCTTAATATTCTATAAACTTTTATCAGCATGTGTTTGGCTGTTCGCTACTGATGTTACACCTAAACTCAGGATTAAAGCCTGTGTTGACAGAATACCAAATGTGCCAGTTAATGTATTCAAGTAGCACATTCATTTATAATTTTGAATAAACTCCAAAGCACAATGACTAAGTGTGTATTTTTTTATTTGAATTGTTTGTCAGCTCGCACAACTGTCTGTCACCATGCCTTGATGAGTATTGATTATTAATAATGTTATTATAATACTCCCAGTCAACTACTGCGGAGGGTAAAGGTACTGTTATTTCACCCTTTTGAATTTCGTTGAGGTTGTGTTCCCACATCGTTAGCTAGTTTGGATCGCTATAACTTGAATGACTGTCAACTGTTGAATGAACGAGTGTCAAGCATGTCAAATCGCCCTTTGTTTACTTCCAACCGGAAGTCGCGCCCACTTTTGACGCAAGGCCTCATGGGGCGTAGGAAACTTGTGGATAGATCAGAGCACTGTCATAGATCTATTCTTTGTTGTCATAGAAACCTCCTTCGCATTAGAAGTTGGGAACATCCAGCCTCTGGGTCATTTTTGGCCATTCAAGTATGGGTGTACGATATTGGGGAAAACTGACACTGCGATGTTTCGTGTTTCTGCAATATACATTGTGACTTGAATATTTAGAAAGAATAAATCATTCTAGAAAGATTGGGGTGATTTTGTAGGAGTGTGCATCTGCATAGAAAATAATAAACACGCTGTGATAAATACAATAGAACAAACTGAGAGAGAATAAACAGGGATTTATGTTTTTCAGATTCAGGTACATAAATTGAATAATCAAATGTAAAACATCACTGCATAGTCTTCACTGTATAAATGAAATATAATGAATCTTTGTTAAAGCTACGAAAGTGATTTTCTTCATGTGTGTTGTTGTTTGATTAACACTAATGACCCAGACAGGAGTATTATGGTACGTTCACACCGGAAGCGAATAGCGTGTCAGGCGCGAATGATTTCAATGTTAAGTCAATGCAAAGACGCGTAAAAAATTCCTGCGGCGCGAATGAGGCGTAGAACGTGGTGTGGTATATGCGAATATGCCTCATTCGTGCATCAACTTTGCGTG